TATATATATATATATATATAATTTTTTTATTAGATGGAAGACACATTGAGTGGAGATGGAAACGAGGATGGTGGAGGTTTGAAGCACTATTACAACAATTATTGTTTGTAGGCGTAGTTTAACCTTCAGAACCTCATTCCCAGGATGTCTCTCCTACCCCTCACTCCATAGGGACGGGTAGGAGAGAACCCTGGGAACAAGGTTATAGCCTTCACAGCCTTAACCAGCAAGTAATGTTTTACTCCTTTCAGTGATGCTAGTGATAACAAAACCCTATTTTTTTTCGAAACCTGGCCAAGTTTCTAACAAAATGAAATTAAGAAATATAATAGTACCAACGTGTCATACATCGCATGTCCTTGAAAACATATCAAACAGTGCAACTGTAACTGAATCGACAGTAATTTTGTGGTTGGACTTGTAGGAGAAACGATCATTCTGATTTTCCCCCTAAATATGACTTGATGGCGAGACATTGTTGTCCACCACTCCACAGGTTTCAGCCTAAGTTGAAAGTTGTCAAAACACACAATCTACGTTTAAAATGGTACCCTCACTTTCCAAAAAATTGTGAGTATTTTTGTTGTATTTTTTAACAGGCATGTTTTGCACATGTATTCTCATGTGTTTGTGTGCAATATGGCAGATTTACACGCAACAAATATGCGTGTAATGCTGCAAGGTCTGTACTGTACTTCACACTTCAACAGCCTTGGCCAACATATAATTAATGGTTTGCTCCTTTCAGTAATGGTAGTATGCTCTCTTGTTTCGTCCTAAATAATAATTATTAGTATATGCATCTCTATGTTACCTTTTCGAATTTTTTACTACTCCTATTTACATTTATCATGAGGATTTTGCTAATTGTACACCTAATAATTAGTGTTTTTTTCCTTTGTATATAGATCAGTCATCTGGGGTTGATAATGGGGTGCATGAATCTGATGAGCTTGCTGTCATAATAAGCCCTATCTCAATCATGGGTTACCTGTCTTTCTGTATAGCCGTCGCCTTAGAAAACGAGGAAGAGCGTATGCTGAAGGAGCTTCTCAGACCTCCCTCTGAAGCGGATGATGACGTAAGTTATACTAATTCTGTTAACATGAATTCCTTTTTAAACTAGTTACCCTGCTATTAAAGAATTTTGTACTTTAATTTTTCAATTTATCTTTTACAGTAACCTACCAGAATGTATTTTTTTTCGCGTGCTCATCATATGCAAGCAAAATAATATCATCTAGGTTGTTTTTGCTTCCCATGCACCAAACAATATTTTTCCTGGTTTCTAAAATATGCAAAATAATGATTTTGTTCTACCATGTAAAAAATGTGTCATACTTTGTTTCCTTGCTTCGTATCCCCCTGTGTTAATTTCATGTGTGACTTAATTAACATTTCAAATGACTGTGTTTTTCGCTACTTTCTAGGCTGAAATGTTGTCCCTATGTTCTCAATCAACTCGGATTGTTGCAATGGGCATTAATCCCATTGTGGAGCGTTACTGTTTTGAAATGGAAAGGATTTATGGTGTAGTGTTTCCCAAAGGAGACCAACATATTGGGTTGACAGAAGAGCAAATGGATGAATTTGATCATTTCCGCGATACACTAGGTGTTATGTCTAGGGCACGTTACAATTTTGTTAGGTTTGATTTGGCTTTAAAAACATGGTTGAAAGAGTGCCCGGAAGTTCAGTGGCGGAAGGTAGAGGACTTTGTTGAGTGTGATGGTTGGGTCAAACTTACCCCTCGCGAATTTTCCTTTTATTTACAATGGAAAGAATATAAGTGGAACATGTTGAATGCAGATGACAAATTGTAACGTTTCATTTTATCAATAATTTTAGCATTAAAAGTGATTTGGGCTGAATCCTGGTTGTCCCACCAAATGGGAAACTGAATGAGAAGAGTAGCCACTACATAACACGTATAACTGGGTTTATCCTGTGGATATGTGGGTTATGCTGTCTGCTGATGAAACCTTACTTGTCATTAACTTGAGAGTTCAGCAAACACTATCCATGTCAGTGATATCCTGGCTACAAGTGGGAAGGTGGTTATTTAACCGCTGATAATTGCAATTAAAACTCCGACGTTTTGGCAATGCTGCCTTCATCAGGGAAAATATTTGAGTTCATTATAGCGGAAAATTTGAAAATGCACGCGCAAAAACAGACGAGTGTGAGCGCACAAGTCACGTGAAAGAGAAATCTTTTTTTTTTTTTCATTCCACCCGGCACAAGGGTGCCAATTTCTGCTATAACGAACTCACATATTGTACCTGATGAAGGCAGCATTGACGAAACGTCAGAGTTTTATTTGCAATTACCAGCGTTTAACTTACCACCTTCCCACTTTTAACACACACAAATGCTACGCAGGAACCCTCTTTATTTATATCCTGGCTACAACGAGTCGGGCTGGTTACTCGATGAAACCCCCTGGTTTTGTCTTAAGTGCATAACATGTCTGGCATTGTTTTAAACTAACGTAACATCGACATATAGGAGTTTTTGACATGATGAATTATGCACTTTTGACAACAGGATAATACTGCCATTGTGGGCAGGGGGACCAGGAAACCACAGTTATCACTAGCCAAAGAAAAGAACCATTGCTTCTCAATGCCACTTTTACTGTTCCGGGAAAATGACGTCTCAAGAATTGTGACAGAAATTGTATAATGCTGAAACTGTATGGAATTGGTGTATTACTTATTCAGACATCATACTGCAGTTTTGGTGACATTGAAAAATCTAGGCTGTTTTCTGAAGCTAGTTTTAAGATTTGTTGACCTACTTACTTTATTTTTATGATTTGAAATGACCCATTATCCTCTCAACAATGTAAGAAGGGTTCCTCATCATAACATGATAAAGTGCCGTGGGTTGGGATTGGGGAATGCCATTCACTACAGTTGAACCTCAACTTTGCTACACCTTAAATAACAGCCTCTTGGTCAAACAAGGCATCAGCTATTTTACTGTTACCGATGTTTCAAAACAAGTATAATTGTTGGCATTGATCATCTTCCACATACGTTTGGCTAAATGCTTTTTACACAGCCTATGCTATATTTTCTTTGAATACAATTGTCATCGGCTCAAATTCTGATTATCGAGATGTTGCTTTGTAATTACACATTTGAATACACATTTCATATAATTGCACATTTGATTCACCATAACCGGGGAGGGACACACCATGTAATGCTGGCCTTTCCCTCCACAATTAAAACATTTCCCACGAAAATCGATGTTATTTACTTCAATAGTATTTGTTGTAACAAACTCTAATTTCCATTTCCTTGGCAAATAAAACGAGCGTTGTCTTAAAGAATTATGAGAATTCAATGAGGCCTATTTTCTTGACCTTTCCATGTAGACTTGGCACGCTACAAAAGTTTTTTTTTTGTCCTTGGCGGGGGAAATTAGCGCGTCGTTGCCCAATTGAGGTGATACAGGCTGCACAGACACAGTTCGGTACTCACATGTATTATAGGTGACCCTGTTTGTTCGATTACACGCCGCGGTGTTAGCATCCTAAAGAAACTACTCTAAAACACCATAACAGTTCGCTTACGTTTACGGTTAATGATGTCAGAGGAACCGGATCCGTGGGTTTCTGATGAAAAAAGGAAAATAATTAGACCATACATTACTAAAAAAACGGGGATAAGGCGTTGTAAGTTGTAGCACGTTTGTAATTATGGACAATGCTAAGAAGACCATCCCTTTTTTCATCCGTTTAGAGTCGTCCTTTCGACTAAATTTTTTTGGACTACCGTCAATATGCCACCGGTAGTTGCACCCGATCCGGTTTTCTCGCAAAAAGATTTCGTTCCACCAAGAAAAATCGCTCTGTGTGGCTGGCTATTTTTAAGGACCTGTTCATGTTCTTGGCTAAAGTCACCAAAAAAAGGAACGAACAAACCAAAAATATGTTCTCGTCTTCTACACAACAAGCTACCTCACTCTTTTTTCTTTTTTTATATTTCTCGTACTACTTGGGTCAGTGATACAATCACACAATACATTTCTAGCTAAAACGCGGCTATATTTCACATACTTGTCTTCTCGGCTTTAAGATCTTAAAAAGCTCTGCCCAGGTTGTTCAAACGTTGGATAGCACTATCCAGCGGATAAGTGTTAGGGAAACCAATAACGCTATCCGCTGGATAGTGATTTATCCTTTGGATAGCTCTATCCAACATTTGAACAACCGGAGCCAGAGAGATAGATAAGGTAGCCAAGTTTCTTGTAAACAGAAGAATTTTTAAAGTAAACGTTTTGAATTAACTTACCTCTATTTGGCGGGTTTCTCCCGTCGCCGTTTGTTTGAGGCCCGCTTCTTTTACCTCCTCCGTTCGTGGAATGCCTGTCTATGATCAAAGAAAAATAAGTAAGCCTAGGTCTTACATAAAAGTCTCTTGACCAAGTACATCTTATATGGACTTGATAAATTTCGTCTGAAAACAATATATTAAGGTTCTTTTTTTCTAACTCCCTCCCATATATAATTTTATTTGTTTAGTAATAAACTTTACCTCTATCGCCTTTTTGTCAATTCCTTCTGTCAGCCCCGGTTCTTCCACTTCCTCCGTTTGAATGCCTGTCTGTGATCAAAGAAAAATAAGTAAGCCAATCAAATTTACTCTCTGGGTACCAGTTAGGTCTTACATAAAAGTCGTATTTTTTACCTTTGTTTATGAAAATGGGAACTCGTTTGTCAAAAATCCCTCCCAGAAATAATTTAATTTGTCTAGTACTAAATATTACCTCTATCACCTTAATGTAAATTCCATTCCCGGCGGGTCTCTCTATCGGGCGAGCTGACTGAGCTAGGCATCTAAAAAGGATTGGAAACGTTCCGTAGATGAAAATGAGGGATGATGCTAGTCACCCTATCGCTCCCTTTATGACTATCCAACCTAAACTGTTCTCATATGAAAAATGATACTCGTAGTTTTTTAACTGTTCTCTTTATGAAAATCGTCTAATAATCTTAAGATGTACTACCCACTGGAAAGTTTCGCAAACAGACACGTGGAATACGTGAAACTAACAAACGGATTCCTTCACAAGTGAGTGAGCAAATCTCACTGGATTCATTAACCAAAATCTCTCGATTGCAGTGAAATAAACTTGCTGTTCAGTTGATTATTCTATTAGTCTCAGAGACTTCTCACATAACTTAACCATCATGATTACACAACTCCCAGTTGTTATTCTATGGGAAATTCTCTCTTATCTTTCTGTTGCTGACTTGACTAAAACTGCACTAGTGTCTAAGCAGTTTCTTGCGCTGTGCAAATTGATCTTCACGCCGATTTAAGTTCAACATGGGCAGACAACCTTGGAAAATGAAGTAGTTATTCCAAGCAACTCTCTGCGGGCAGCCAGGGTATTTGAGAAAGTCTCCTTGCGTTACTGCAACTAACACTCATTTCGGTTCCTAGAGCATTGCGCGTGCTAGATTTGTTTGGGACAAACATCCGAGATCATGAATTACTTCCACTGTCAAAGCGGTTTCATTTTACTGACGTAGACCTTGGTTTCTGTAAAGAATTGACTTCGCATGGGCTATGCAGTTTTTTCGAAGACCAACCTTGCTTAGGGGCAATTGGCGCACACACTTGGAAAGGAAGGAGGGAAGAAAGGGGGGTACTCAACAGTGTTTCGTATGGTGATGCAGGATTCAGTGATAACGTAGTACTTTAAGGAGCAAAGCTGTCAATTTTACTGTACCTCAACTGTTGTAAAATATCATTTTGGGTTTTTTACAAATCTCCTGTCACAATTCCCATCTTGTAGGTTCGAGCTAGGGTGTTTACATCAACATGTCTTATCAGTCAGAAAATGCCAGTATGTGTTATACCTACAACTGAAATAAAAGGCAGCTTCATCGGCTTCAGTAGTTGAAGTTGTCTCAGTGCTTGGTTCTAAAACTTACAATGTATGCTGTATCTCTCTCTCACCAGGATACTGGAGATCGGTGTGTTATTAACTGACGAGGCTGAAGAATTGGACTGGTTTTATATTAATTGTATTGTTAAATTTAAAAAAAATAGTGGTTTTATCGTTGTTTAATTGTAAGAAAAGTGATGATCTAGATTTCAACTATTTGAACGGATTAACTTACTTACGTCTCGTTAATCACTAGCAGCGTCACTCTGAATTTGTGCAATTACTACACAACCAAGCCAACGCCACTATCATTTCCCAACCGGAATGTCTCTACAAAACATATATGAATTAAATATCTAAGTGAATGCTCAAGCTGTTGCTATAATGAAACAAACTTTACAACCATCCGATTTACTGACAATTTAATGCACAACTCTGAGACTTTTTATTTTTCACCAAGAATCGTTAGCATTCCGGGCTCTGGTCCGTACAAATTCCGGATGAAGGGGAAATCGTGAAGTTAATCACTCATTGTAGAATCAAGGAAAATCTTACAATATAGTTTTATCACCTCACTGTTATTAACTACTTGTATTCTTCAATGAGAATCCTGCTTCTACTAATAGTAATATGAATGCATTCTATCCTTTTTTGAAACAAAACTCGAGATAGATTACGTAGAAGCACTATAGATGTAATATAGAGAAGACATAGATTCCACTGGCATTACCGTAAAGATCTCAAAGTAACTACCCCTGAAAGTAGCGATCCTTCTAAAGAAGCGAGAAAATTTTACAGATGTTAGCAAATGCCAAAAGTAGCGATCCTCAGAAAATAACGGTCCTCCGAAAGTAGCGACTTGAAAAGTGATTTCCGTTCTTGTTAGAAATAACGAAAAATATAATCTTACAATTACAACAAGCTTCACCGAACCGATCCGAACTTTATTTTTTAACGATTGTAATGATCTTTGACATTTCTTTTTGTAACTCAATAGGTACATCTTTCTTTTCCAAAAGGTGCTCCTGTCGTCTCTGAATAATCACACCGTAATCAGACAGTTCAATAACAGGAAGTAAGTTTTTGCAAATAAAAAGTGTGGATGTTTTCACGATTGTCGCGATAATATTATCGTAATTGCGTACGGCAAATAAATGTAAGGTACACGTTCAAGCTACTAGAAAGTAGAAACCCCCGGAAAGTAGCGATAGGAAAAGGTTGGTATATCTGTAGGGTCGTTAGTTTCGGAACTTTAAGGTAGTTGTTTTTCCTCACATTTACAACAGCTTAGGTTGGTTGACGAAGGGCACAGTAATATTCGTCCAATTAGGCTACTCGTCTAGAGCCAAAATTTCAATTTTTCCCTACTCGGTTTCTACTCAATAGAAATCTCGCTTGGACCAATTTGGGGCTGCAAGTGTTGAGCCATCCCCTCGATAAAAATTGTTGCAAAAATCTCGGGCTGCCTGTTTGGATCCAGCCGGTGTCTATTCGCATTTCTCAGCGTTAATCTTGCGGCGGCTCGCACCTCTTGTAACAAGTCGTAGGTTTTGGTTGAGAAAATAAGATGTTACCGAGAGGTGCGTGGCTACTGTTAATCTTACCTATTTTCTTTCATGGCAGATACAGGCCTTTCTACAGAAGACAAAACTTTTCGAGAACGTTTAAGAGTCATGGTTAGTTTTTCATCTCATCTCTCAAAAATAATACTGCTTCCACTTTTTTTGTGGCATCCAATGGGGCCATTTCGTGTATAGCAAGACTTAGCCATTACTAATGAAGGTAAACCTTTCCAAGCAGGTTTTACTGACCTAATTGTTTTTGCGTATTGCTCGAGAGATTTGGAACGTTCCATTTGTAATTAAAATCTCGTGAAAGATATTTCATTGCACTTGTTTGTAATTACCCCTATTGCCCAGTAAGAACCCCCAACTGTCTTTTTGTGACAAATAGTCAGTCCAGTGCGTGTGACAATATAGGCAAAAACATTTTCACTTATTGGTCCTCTTTGCCTCGGAGCAGTGTGGAAATTTCGCGAGAACCCTTTTGTGATAGAGAACCCGGCGCTTGAGTCATTTCGCGTGAAGTCAAGATTAAACTTTATGTGAGAGTTTTAAAAACGCTCTAGCCGTTCTTACCATTTGGCCCCATTCCACCAATCCACAAAACCTCGTGCAGACATTCCAAGGCACTACTTAATACTTGGTCCATGTTATGGATACAGTCTGGCCTATGAATTCTGGTAGCAAATGGAGTACTAAAAAAAGACGAGAATTCCCACGCAGACTGGGTTTCTGTTGTTTATTCAAGGATCTAAAGGGCACTTACTGTATTTGCAGTGTGGCAACGAACCTTTGCCTTTTAGACAAACTACTGAAAATTTGCAATAGGTTTGGCTATTACTCAAACTAGATGGGAAAAGAGGCTCCTTGGAGAATTGCAATTTTGCACGCAAAATCATCTGTCAAGAAATAATGAAAGGGTTGAAGGAAATTAAAATGAAGCTTCGGTAGGTGTCCCTTGGAAAATGGCCATTTTTACCTAAAGGTCCAATCTGAATAAAATATCGAATCTGGTAAAAAAAAAAAAAGGCGAAAGCCTTTGACAGCAAAGGTGAAAAAACAAGCGCTGGCAAAATAATCGCCAAATAATTGACGACATGTAAATGGCACTTCAAGAGCTGCACTTTTTAAAGTGATCAAAAATGGCGAGTGTGCCAAAAATGGCGAACATGTCAAACATTTGCTGCGTATTTGGCGAATATTCAGATGAAATGGCAAAAAAACCTGCCAGCGATGGTGAAAAAGGTGAATCCGGCATGCAAAAAAACCACCAAAGGGTTGACGGAAATGTAAATGAGGCTTCAAAATATTTTTCTGGTAAAATGGTGAATCTAGCAAAATAGGCTAAAGCCTGACCAAAAGGGTGAAAATGGCAGATCTGCCAAAAAAAGTCAAGAAATTGGCGAAAATTTAATAGAAGCTCGAATCCGACAAAAACCTAACAGGAAAGGTGAAAATGACAGACATGGTGAAAGATCGCGAAAAGGTTGACGAATATCTAATGGAGGCTCGGTGAGATGTCCTTGGTCAAATGGCGAACTGGCAAAAACGACAAAAACCTGACAGACAAGTTGAAAATAGCAGATATGGCGAAAGATCACAAAAAGGTTGACTGAAATTTAATTGAGACTCGGTGAGATGTCCCGTGTCAAATGGCTAATCTTACTAAAATGATGAATCCGGCGGAAACGGAGAAAACCCGTCAGGAGGGTGAAAGGTGTGAATCTGGCAGGAAAAATCACCAAGGGATTGATGCAACTTCAAATGAGGCTCGAAAAGATTTTTTGGTAAAATAGCGAATCTGTTAAAATATGCAAAAACCTGACCAAAAGGGTGAAAATGGGAGATCTGCCCAACAAAATTACCAAATTGGCGGAGATTCAATAGAATGCCCGAGAGATGACAATCTGGCCAGAACGGCGAACACCTGACAGGTAAGGTGAAAATGACAGAAATGGCGAAAACTCACAAAACGTTCGAGGGATATCTAATTGAGGATAGGTGAGATGCCCCTGGCCAAATGGCGAATCTGGCAAAAAAAGAAACCTGACAGGAAAGGTGAAAATAGCATATATGGCGTAAAATCAGAAAAAGGCTGACGGTAATTTAATTGAGGATTGGTGCGATGTCCCTGGTCAAATGGCGAATCTTGCATAAACGGCGAAAACCTGACAACAAACGTGAAAATATCAGATATCGTGAAAGATCACCTGTGAGATGTCCCTGGTCAAATGGCCCGGATCTAACGAAAAATGACGAATCCGGCGGAAACGGCGAAAACCTGTCAAGACGGTGAAAAATTGGGCCTCTAGCAAGAAAATCACCAAAGGGTTGACGCAAATTGAAATGAGGCTCCAAAAGACTTTTTTGGTAAAATGGCGAATCTGGTAGAATAGACAAAAACCTGACCAAAATGGTGAAAATGGGAGATGTGCCCAAAAAATTACCAAATTGGAGGAAATGGAATAGAATGCCCGAGAGATGTTCCCGGTAAAATGACAGCTAATGACAATCTGGAAACAACGGCCAAAACCTGACAGGCAAGGTGAAAGTGACAGAAATGGCTAAAGATCACAAAACGTTCGACGGATATCTAATTGGGGATAGGTGAGATGGCCCTGGTCAAATGGCGAATCTGGCAAAACCTGACAGGAAAGTTGAAATTAGAATATATGGCGTAAGATCACAAAAAAGTTAGCAGAAATTTCATGGAGGCCCGGTGAGATGTCCTTGGTCAAATGGCGAACTGGCAAAAACAGCAAAAACCTGACAGAAAAGTTAAAAATAGCAGATATGACGATGATCACTAAAAGGTTGACTGAAATTTAATTGAGAGTCGGTGCGATGTCCCTGGTCAAATGGCGAATCTGGCTCAAACGGCGAAAACCTGACAGGAAAGGTGAAAATGGCAGATATGGCCAGATCACAAAAAGGTTGGCTGGAATTTTATTGAGGCTCGGTGAGATGTCCCTCGTAGAATGGCCAATAGGCGAAAACCTGTCAGCAATTGTGAAAACTGTGAATCTGGCAAGAAAAATCAGCAAAGGGTTGACGGAATTTTAACTGAGGGTCCAAGAGATTTTTCTGGTAAAATGACGAATGTGACGAAAGTGGCCAGTGAAGTAAAAGAGGCAAAAACCTCACCCCAGGGGTGAAAATGGCAAATCTGCCTAAATTAACCACCATATTAGCGGGAATTTAATAGAACTTCGAAGGGATGTCCCTGATATAATGTCGAATCCGGCAAAAACGGAGAAAAGCTGACCAGAAAGGGGAAAATAGCAGATATGGCGAAAGATCACAAAAATTTAATTGATGCTCGGTGAGATGTTCCTGTTCAAATATGGAATCTGACGAAAATAACGAATCTGGCAGAAACGGCCAAAAAGCTGCCGGCAATGGTCACAATGGTGAAACTCGCGTTGATTCAGAAGTGATGATAAACCCATTCTATGCACACTTCCATAGAAAAAAAGACAA